TTGCAGAGCAGTAAAAGCAGTCAGGGTTTGGCTTTTTTCTTAATGGTTTGCTCTTAATCTTTATGCATTGGAACAAGTGAAGAGTTCTTTGCTTTTTATTTCTTCAGTCATTGCAGAAGTAAATAATACTACTGACCTCCCAAAAAGAATTCAGGTAAAGATCCCAATGAGATGAGGGCAATGTCATAACACATCCCAAATCAAACACACAGTCTGTGGCCCTTCACAAATTACTTCACTAAGCAGAAAAGTCAGGGTTGCCTAGTACTGAACAGAAGATTACCCATGTGGAGATAGCTAAAGAAGCATCCTTTGTTCATAATGAACACAGACAGGATTCGTGAGCTTTGGTTGCTCAGTGCCCTGAATTCTGTAGTGATTTAGATTTTCAGGTCTTGATTTCACAAATTTTATCTTACTCTTTAAATTTTCAGTGTCAGGTAGAAGTGAATAGTCCTGAGAATAATGAGAGATTACCATTACCAAGCAGTATTTTATTATGATAGAAAATATCTTTATTAAGACAGAAAATATTCTTCTTGTGACATCATGTGAGAATGACATTGATGTTGAGAACATTGCTAATGAAGCACAGCTGCAAGGTATGGAAATTTCAAAATAAGATGAAGGCTTATATAAGTTACACAGAACACCACAGTAGTGGAGTGAGTAGCAGAGCTAGAGCTGCACTCTCAGGCTGTCCTGTGAAAATTTAGACTACTCAAAGAGCTCCAGTGTGAATGCTAAGGGAAAAAGTTAATAGAGAAAACAGTTTTTAGGACTGGAGGATGGCGGGGAGATGGTGTGCATTCCCAGTGAATTCAGGCTCTCTAGACTCAGTGGAGAAAGAGTTCTATGGATTTAATGGGCATTGAACCTCATTTCTGGAGGGTCCATACAGACAGAAACAATGACTGTCTTAGATAACTGGGACTCTTTTGGCCTGGCTTTAGAGTTAGAAAAGATGAATGTAATCAGTAATCATGTGTTGGGAGACACTTGTTGTGACACATTAGGTTAACGATCCTCTTCTCTTATTTCTATTAATCCTCATATTACTTGTGCCCTAGTTAAAAATTAAAGGCCTCAAACATAAATTCAGCACTTTGTCTGTACACAGCAGTCTGTGTCCAGGGATTTAGTGACATTTCAGGCACCAACAAAGTATGCAAATTTGAATGCAGCTACCTTCTGTATCCATCTGGTATTGGTATCAGCAGAGCTGCACACAAGGTGATTCTTACTTTGTATTATGAACCAATCTCTCTTAGCTGCAGAATTTTCCCTTCTTTGGTTATTTCTTTCCGCCAGCAAGTATGCAAATATATACATAGACATTGTAGCACTGTAACTTTAATATACAGAACATGTACAGAATACCCACCAGTGGACTTGGAAAATATGTCAGTGCTTATTATGCTCATGAATGAAAGAAAATGCCAGGACCTCTTAATGTATAACATTCTGGGCCTGCTCATTAATGCAAACCCACTAGGAACATATCTCATGTCAATTTGACCTTTCCCAAACAATTACTGCTTATTCATGGTCAATGATGAGGGTTTCCCTCATTAAAAACAATATGAGGACCAAGTAATCAGATACCTAAAATAAAGTTGTTGAAATGGCAGTTGATTTTTTTCTGAGAAGTCAAATCTGTGTAGTTCATTCCCTCAGCAGGGAATAAATGCCTACATGGAAAAACTCCTTTTACAAAGATTTAATGGACACAGGAAATTGCCTCTTAATTTAGTGTTTTCATGTCTTTGCCAACGGGTGTTTAATTTTTGTTATAACACTCTCAGTACAATACTGTCCTGCCTCGGCTATGCAGTAATAAAAAAACATCTGGGGAGTTCAGTGAACAACTTTGTGGGAAGATAAGAGGTGGCTGAAATTTTACTTGCAGTTTTTATTTCAGACATCAGCTTTTAATTCCATTGTATTGTTTAACCTTCAGTGTGGTTTCTCTGGGAGTAGATTTGATTTAATTGTCTTATTTTGTGCCCTCTGTGGATTCCCTACACCTGAATGATAGTTCTGTAGACTAAACTTTATGCTGAAATGAAATTTGCTGAGATTGAGTGTCTAAGTCTTCTGAGATTGTACTTGTAGAGGTTTCATAACATAATTGTCTTCTGATGTGGAAATCTCATCTACAAAGCAAATTGGTGAAGTTTTACAAATAATTCCTTTACGATGAACAATGTAAGTGTATTTTGTGTTCTGTTGCAAAATTATATACATATTTTTATGTGCATATGGATTCACAGATTCATAGAATAAGGTTGATTTGGAGGGACCTTTAAAGGCCATCTAGTTCAACCCCTTTACAATAAACAGGAACATCTTCAGCTAGATTAGGTTGCTCAGAGTCCTGTTCAATCTGACCTTCAACATTTCCAGGGATGCAGCATCCACCACCTCTCTGGGCAACATGTTCCAGTGTTTAATCAATCTCATAATAAAAAAAGTGTCTTCTTTACATCTACTCTGAAAATCAATATATATTGATGTTATATATAAACCCAACATTTTAAATGCAGAGAGTTGGGATTTTGTTTTTCTTTTCACCAACTAGTAGGTCAAGGGAGGTAATTCAGTTCTAAACTCCACTCTTGTCACAACCCAGCTGGAGTACTCTGTTCAGCTCTGTTCAGCCTCCCAACACAACAAAGACCATGGAGTCCACAGGAGGGCCATGAAGATGGTCAGAAAGCAGGAGCCCTTCTCAGGAGACAGGCTGGCAGAGCTGGGCTTGTCGAGCCTGGAGAAGAGAAAGCTCTGGGGAGAGCCTTACTGTGCATTCCAGTACCTAAAAGAGGTGTACAAGAAAGTTGGACAGGGGTCTTTTACAAAGTCATGTAGTGACAGGACAAGGAAGAATGGCTTTAAACAAAGAGTGTAGATTTAGGTAAGATATTAGGAAGAAATTCTTTACAGTGTGGGTGGTGAGGCACTGGAACAGGTTACCCAGGCAAGTTGTGAATGTCCCATCCCTGGAAGTTCAAGACCAGGTTGGATGTAGCCTTGAGCAAACCGGTGTAGTGGAAGGTGTCCCTCCCCATGGCAGGGGCATTGGACTAGAAAATGCTTTGTTTCCTTTTCAACCCAAAGTATTCTTTGATTCAATGAAATATCTAGGTCTTCTCTCTTTCATCCATAGTTCCTAACTCCTTAGGATTGAATTTTATTGAAGCCTTGTGTAGACAGAGGAAAATCTTGGTAAAGCCAGCTGCAAATCATTGTACTGCTGATTTCAGCATGTCACTTGTGTAGGCAAGTCTCGCAGCAGTAACACGACACCTGTGAGACAAACAGGTCAGCGATCCCTGGGTTTGAGACTGGTGCTGTGCCACAGTAGGTGCCCAGCAGCCCTTGGTGTGAGCCCATTTACTAACAGGAACCAACACATACTGTGGGGTGACTTGCTGTCTGTCTCTTTCAGCTGGAGACACAGGGATTGCTAAGAACTGGCAGCTTATGAAAACAGGTGATACATGCTCAGAGATCTTCTTGGTATGCCCTCAAGGCCTTTTAAGTTACTTTGCTTGTAATAAGAGGATGCCAGAAGACCTTTATAGTCTATGTATAGACCATATGGATATATATACACAGCTACATGCCAGGCATGCAATATATATATGGCTGTGTATTTCTGCTTCAAATTTGCTGCAATTTCAAAGCCACTTCAGTGCATCTTTCTCCTGTAGTTATCTTTCTAAAATATAATCTGCCTGACAAATGCCATCACAATGGTGTGTGCTCGACTGTCTGCTCCTGTGCTGAGATCATCTTGAGAGAGATGTCTGTGGAGCTGCAGGCCTATCCCATCAGTAGATCATCCTGCATTAATGCCTCAAGCAGTAATACTAGCAAAGCTGTTCTGAGTTCTCTTAACTGATAAGTGACTCTCACTCCTTATCAGCATAACAAGTTATAGCAAGAGCTTTGTAAACAGAGAACATCACTAGGCTTTGCTTTTCTAATCTGTCCGTATCCTTAATCATACTGGAAACACGAGGACATGGCAAGAGAAGAGCATCTGAAGCTTTTATTGAAATAAGGTGGCAGGACAATTGCCACCTCATTCAGCAAAACTTTGCTCTTCTTTCATATTTTTATTGGCTGCTGGGAGGAAATTAGGATGCAGGGAAAGGAAGAGTTCATCAGTGGAAGAAAAATTTCTTTCCTTACTGCTGATAAGTGGTTTTGCCTGAAAGGGGCTGCTAAAAGTTCCACGTGAAGAATGGTATATCACTGGAAAAGGACAAAGTCACTCGTTTGGGCAGGTGGCTTGGTAGACAACATCATTTATTGTGAAGTCATTATGGTCAGGTAGCTGCAAGCCAAATTCAAAGTCACATTCCTGAAACTTTAGATTTGGATTTCAGCTACAGTTATCACATATCCTAGATCCACACCAAGCCCTGATGGGGATATAATAAAAATTCTGCTTCAGGTGCAGTAGATGGCTTCTTAAGGTTTGAATATTTTTTCATTGCTGCTGTTGTCTTTTAGGTAAATTGACACAGTTTGCATCTGGAGGGGCTGTGTTGGTTTTGTAATCACATTTTATGATAACTGGCAAATAATAGCTTTAACTTTTTGCAGAGGGGAACAGAATGACTCTGGTATACAAATGTACCAAGCAGAGAGCTCAAAGCTCCAATCTCCCTTTTCAGACAATATAAACTGACATTGTGATTATGTACCTTCAGAACAAGAATGTGCTTTAGAGATTCAGGAAATACTTGCCAAACATAACTATTAAACATAGAACCTGCAGAAATCCCACCACTCAAACATGTGGATGAGGTATTTTGTTTCAGTAGACCTTCTTGGTGATGGTGTTAACATTTTCATGTTTAGATACTGTCAAACTTATTGTTAAAAATTTTTCAGTGGAAATACCATATACATGGGGTTTTTCCATGCTTGATGTTTTTTATGCTTGCTTTTCAGCATAGCTAATTTGATTCTATCGTGTTTTCCTGCAGCAATTAAGATCATGGAAGAACCAGAATCATCAGGTGATGACATTTTTGTTACAGCCAGCACTTATGAAAGGTTGCCTTTCTTTACTGGTCCAAGTGATGTCTCCACCGCGCAGCCTGGAGCTGTTATTACAGATGTGCTGCCATCAGTAGCGCCGCTGCCTGCAGCCACCAGCCCATCCTACAGCCCCTCTGAGATCATCGAGCAGTCCCTTGAGTTACCAGGGCCCTCAGCACCAGCCCCTGAGGGCGTTCCTGCGGATGGCACCGGGATGGGGGTGCAGGACATCGCTGCCGAGCTGGATCCGATGGGCGCGGTGAGCACGGCCACGCTGGACGAAGGGGAGCAGGGCAGTGGCTACATCCCAGGGCTGACCACGGAGCCTGCAGAAACCACCCCAGCACCGGTGCTCAAGTACGTAACTACCAGCTCCATGACCACTGCAGCCAAAGGCAAAGAGCTCGTGGTTTTCTTCAGCCTCAGGGTGACCAACATGCACTTCTCTGACGACCTCTTCAACAGGAGCTCGACAGAATACAAAGCACTGGAACAACAGTTCATGCAATTGGTGGGTGAAAATCAACTTGAACAGCATGTGTGGTAGTTGGGTGCAGTTTAAAGGAATACAATGAAGTGCAGAGTATTTTTACAATACTAAACCCTTCTACAGTTCCGTCTGATAAGCTGTATTTTAAAGGATCCATAAGCCTTGGATGCTCTTAAAGTCTGAAGACAGGTTTTATGAAGTCAGTGATGAAAGATTTTACTTGATCAAGAGAACCCAGATATATGCCTAACATGTAATTTATTTGGCTTTTTCTTAGATCCACGTCAACAGTACAGCGGTACTGATTATATCTGAGACTTGTGTCTGCTTGCTGCATTTAAAAATAGGCTTTTAAAAATATATTATAGCATAGACTGTGATTAGATATGGATTTTCTCTGTTGGTACAATAGGACACAGGTCAGCTCAGCTATAGCATAACAGCCTGTTATACTATGCCCTAGTATAACCTGCCTGGATTGAATGTTTGAAAATAATTAAAGTTGGCTTTTGAGTGAGGTAATTTTTTTCTCTTCCAGATGAATAAACTTCCCAGCTGCTATGCATTTCATTACAGGGGAAATTGCTGTCCATCCATCTCAATACATTATTAAAAAAAGAGCAGAAGTCCAGAAGAAGTTACTGCTAAACAGAAAAGTTAATTTGTTCACGGAGCTTAGCAATTGTATTAAACTCAGGGAAATAAATCTGTGATGTGTGTACTTGATAATGAAAATTGACTATAAGAGAAATTAATAGCAGGTAGACACTGACAGTAAGTTAAAATAAAGGCAAATTTCTGTTTTGCAGTTACTTCCATACCTTCAGTCCAACCTTACAGGTTTTAAGCACTTGGAAATTCTCAACTTCAGGAATGGAAGTGTGATTGTGAACAGCAAAATGAAATTTGCCAAGACAGTGCCATACAATATCACAGAAGCAGTACACTGTGTTTTGGAAGATTTCTGTGATGCTGCAGCCCAGCACCTCAATTTGGAGATTGACAGCTATTCCCTGGATATTGAGCCAGGTAAGGTTGCATTACTAATGTATGTGCTAAATCAAAACTAAGCAGACAATCTTTTTTCAGACTGTTACAGCTTCAGAAGTATGACTGTCTTGGAAATAACCACATTAGCAATATCTTCCCAGTGACAGGAGGTAACAAGACAAAAAAAGATGTTGCAAATTCTCTGCAGATATATTTTCATACTGTAATGAATAGCTGGGTGGAGCTGTTGGGCTGTGTATGTTCACCGGCTGCTTTTCAGAGACAGAGTGGTCTCTAGAATAAGTCCTGGGTGAAGATAGGTATAAGAAATGCTCATGTTCAGTTTGCAGGTCTTGCACTGGAGTATGGAAACAAAATTTCTGATGATTATTGCTATGTTGTAAGCAAACCATGGTTTAGAGCATTCTTATCTTTTCTTAAAGGGATACAGCATTCAAAACAAAAGGAGACAATATGTAGGAATAATTGGATTCTACAGATATTCACAAATTGGGCATGACTTTATGTAGTCCATAGATTTGTAATTCTAGAATCCCTCTGGATATATCTTTCAAATAAGTTAGTAGTCTTTGCTAAACAGTAGAAAGTCAGTAACTACATACCTGGACACTATTCTTATGTCCAAAACTTAGTGTTTTCAAAAACTAGACTATTTTATAAAATTGAAGCCTGAATCTATTTTCAGGCTCTGGTAATTATTTCAAGGTTGAATTTAATTTCATTGTCATCGAGAAGAAAAATAGCAAAGGTATGCAGATGCCTCAAAGAGTTTTGGTTAAGCTGTCGTTTTTATGTAGAGATCTATGACAATTCTGGAACAAAAATTCATTTACAACTCAGTTGCTAAGCAGTTTTCATTTATATATGTCTTTGTGGTCACTAAAAGCATAGGTAACTTGTGGTAAAGAAAGCTAACAAAATCACAGTTTTCTACCCTTCAAATAAACCATGATAAACTGATGCTTGATAAATAAAGTATCATATTGGTTAATTATAAAGAGTGAACTTTGGGCTGCCATATGTTCCCTGCCTTAGTAATAAATTTTCATTAAATAAAAAATTAAAATAAGAAAGATCCTAAAATGCAAATTCAGAAAAATTTTTAAATCTTTCATCTTCATCTGATGTGCTTAACTGATGTGGTGTTTTAATTCAAGAAAACAGAGAGTTAATTTCAGAGACTTTGTGGTGAGAGCTGCTTTTTCGAGGCTTATAAGCTTATAAAGTAGTACAGAGTCAAAATAGAAAATGTGTTTACAAAGCCAGTATATTCCAGTACAGGTGTGTCAAGGGCGTTTTAATTTCAGAAAACAAACAAACAAAAAAACACAAAACAAAACAAAAAAAACAACCTGTGTAGCAAGTTAAGGTAATATAAGCAAACTCCTCTTTATTGTGAAACTGAGAGCCATCTAGTGGTAATGATGTTCTACCGAAGTGAAACATGGATGGGAACTGACAGAGCAAAGTCTATACCAAGAGTCAGCAGCTGCAAAGAGCTGACTGCACGGATCATAAATAATACCATAAAGAAGGACTTTTCAAAATACCTGTACTAAATATTTCATTAGTTATGAATAATAGCTTAATACTGAATAATTAATAACTAATAATTAATTTTTATAATTTATTTAAATTTCTTTCATTAATAATTAATTTCTGTGGGAGCAGAAAACATAACAAAGTATACACATATGTGTTAAAGAAGATGAAATATCATCACAAGAACTCAGCCCAGCCAAATGCTCTAGCCAAGCTCTACTTCTTGGAGTTTACTTGTGCTCACACTCCCACTCCAGGAGCAAAGGACACATCAAACCAACATGCACATTGTATATGGCAAAGGAAAATGGTGCACACTAAAACCCACTAGTCAAAAATTCAAAACAGGAATTAGCCATAAAATTATTGAGGGGTTATAAGTGATCAGCTCTGATGGATTAATTTCTATCACTGAAGCATATTCTAGTGTGTGCCTGATATTTCCAGTACTCCTATAAGAAATGTAATCCTCATTTTTCATTTAAATTAGTATTACTGAGCATCTGGTATATAGAGCATGAATGGCTGCAGAAGAAAACTTATCACAGCTACAAGATGCAATATCCAGTACAAATCTTTTTTTTTTTCACATTCATTTCTAGTAAGAAGCAGAGAATGGGACAGGAAAAGCAGACTTGTGTAACAGCTGTCTTTGATTTGGGCCTTCCCATGAACACCAGCAGGGTTCTTTTCCCTTAATCTCACAGAAGCATTCCTTACTAATATTTTAAAAACAAGACAAAAAATCAAGCAAGCCTTCCCAAAGTTAACATACCACAAAACAAAAAACTTAAGCAAACAAAAACAAACAAAACCCCCAATAAACAAACAAGCAAAGAAGCAAACCCCCAAAACAACAACAGTAACAACAGCAACAACAAAACAAACAAAAAATCCCAAACAAACAAAAAACCCAATACACACAAAAACCCAGCACTACAAAGCCTGCACTTATTCTGTGGATATGACAGTATTTCTACATTGCAGGTCTTAGTATTGTGCAGTATTCGATAATCTAATTACATTCCTCTGTCATGTCCTAAATAATGTGTTTAAGAACACATAATTAAATAATAAATTATGTGTTTAAGAACACATAATTATAGGTGAAATTATTTCTCTCACATAAGACTGTAGCACAGGATCCATGAGTATGATGATAGCACTCACTGCAAAAACAGGATAAAAACATCCAAATGTAAAAATCCTTCTCCTTGAGATAAAAGTAAGTAGTTTGCTTAACAAAGATGGGGTAAATCAGTGTGTCAACATGAACATCTGTGTCCTGTACAGGAAGAGGCTGCGCGTCTTCCCATGGTCAACGACATCCTCCATCAGCACGCCCAAGTGGCAGGCCAGGAAACATGAGCTGCCACAAGCCCTGCCAAGGCCCTTTGGGGTAATGCTTGAGTTAATGATTTACCCATCCTTTACAGCTGATCAGGCAGACCCCTGCAAGTTCATGGCTTGTGACAAGTTTTCCGAGTGCGTACTGAACGAATGGACAAGAGAGGCCGACTGCCTTTGCAAGCCCGGCTATGCCAGCCGGGATGGATTGCCCTGCCGGAGCCTGTGCGAGCTGCAGCCCCACCTCTGTGTCAACGGAGGCAAATGTGAGCTGGTGCCAGGAAGAGGAGCTGTCTGCAGGTAAATAGATTGATGAATTCTGTTAACAGCCCCATAAACCATGCTAATAAGCCAAAAGCTTGACATTCAGATGCTGTAAGTCACACTGCAAATATCCTTCTGAAGTATAAATAATCTCATCATGGATAAATCCATTTCTGCCTGTTAGTATACACAGAACATTATGATCTAGTTATTTTTAAAGATGTTTCAGAAATTTATTAGAAATTCAGCATCATTGGCAGTGATGACACACACAAAGGCATGCATTGCTTTCAGATTTCCAAACACATTTTGGAAAAATGAAATAACACATTCACAGTTTTGCTACTGATTACATGGTAGCATTTTAAGAAATTACATTTTTCTAGGATATATTAAAAAGGAAATCTTTATTCATACAGACTGTGATTCCAGACCATGCAATAAAGCACTTGATGGCTGAAGCTGCTTTCAGGGATTTCTGGGAAAGACTTGAAGATTAGCAGGTTTTCCTTACTGCAAATATATTTATTCAGGATTTTTAAATGGAACTATCTTAAGTCAATACTGAGAACTACACAGTACTTGAACAAATTAAGTCTCTTTTACAAAGTATCAAGTTTCTTATTGTTGTAAAACTAGACAATTCAGACAATTATGTGAGCTAGACAATTATGTGAAATTGTATACTAGACTGGTCCACAGTAGCTGACCAGTCATGTACATAAGCAAGAATCAAGTTACAATTCTTGCATTTGTTTATTCTCTCTTAATACTTTGACTAGATTAACAATACATCTTTTACCTTACTTAGGATAGAACACGAAAAAATAAAACCACTGGACAAATTATTCAAATTATTCACTGTAACAACCCAACTACTAAAATTACTTTTCTTCAATGGGCATCACAGGAATTATATGGAATTCACCACAGTTACTGCCAAATTCCTGACTTTCAGAGTCCCAGTAGAGCAGCTGCAGCATTTAGTATTGGAAATCAGCCTGTGAGCTAGAAAGGTCCTCTTCAAAACCTTGCTGAGGTAGTAAGGGGTCTGAGCTACTCCTCCAAGACTGATGCACTAAAGAAAATAACTCTTTCCCCATTCAGAAAAGTCCTGCATGTAGAGGTATAACCAAACCATCATCAGGAGTAATAAAAGTATTAAAAATAATAAATGACATTTTTTCGGAGTTATAGCAAGTCACAAATTCCCACCAGTGTCAGACTGATAGCTTGTGCAAACTTGTACTGTCAGAGAGAAAATTATGGCCTACTGTTTGCTTTTGTGCTCCATGTAAATTCACTCTCCCCCTGTCTTGAAAGAGGAGTAGAATTCTGCTATTTGTACAAGAACTCTTATTTCAGACCTTACTCCCCAGAGTGAAATCACCAGTAAACAGAATATAAGTTTCAACGTTGTGTTCAGACACTACCTTAAAATATACCTGAACTTCTAAAGTTCTAAACCACAAATGTTACCTGTGGGGTTAGAAATCTGTAAGAGATATTTAAAATGCATTATTTCCTTTAAATTTGTAGGTCGGCAAGATATATGTCAGCGTCTTTTTATTTAAAGCTCACTCTAAAAATATTATCTTTCCCTATCATCAATCACATTATTTTCATGCAGACACATAATTATTTGTAGTGGAAATCATGAGTTCATAATACATTGCAGACTTTCTTTTCTTTTTGTTTAAGATACTCAGTATTTTTTGCCTTAAAGTTCTGTACATTTTTTCTCTTCCTTTCCTTATTTTAGATGCCCTGTACGTAGACACCAGCTTTACCAAGGACAACGCTGTGCAAAATTTGGTCCAGAACCCATACAACCCTTCAGTTTTAAACCTCTCATTCTTGGCTTAGGAAGCCTTGGTTTTCTTTTCATCATTTTAATTATTAGGATAAGAAGAAAATGCAAAAGAAACTCTAATATGCAGTAAGCTGCTCACAGTCTTTTCCTTCACATTTCAAAATATTCCTTTTGTTTCTTTTGCAATTTAAAATCTTACCTAAACAAAAATGTTCTGCATTGTAGAAGTCGTACTCTCAGCAGCTGCAATTCAGAAAATGCTTTAAGGATTAATCCTGCTTTTGAACACGATGAATCCCTATCTAGCTTTTGTCACACGGCTTGCAGTGTAAGTGCTTGTCTCAGTTCCTCAGAGATCCTTGATCACGAAGCATTACATGAACTTGAAAACACAATTCAGCCTGGAGGTAAACTGCATGGAAATCCCTTTCTTCTCATCCCTCAACAAACAGCCCCACCTGAAATAACAGATTCACCTTCATGTATTAACTCCACAACTAAATCAAACTTGAAGCTACTCTCTTGCTTGGCGATTTCAGAACTGAAAATACTAATGCATTCATTGCTTTCCACATTTACTGCAGCGTAGTTTTCACAACAGGACTGTAGAACTGCTTTTCTTACAGCTCTCTTGCATGATCTGGCAGTCTATCCTAGCTGAGTGCTTTTAGTCATTTATAGAAATAATTAGTGGTTTGCTTTTTTTACTCTTGTAGGTCACCAGATGAGTTTACAAAACCACGACTGACAAGTTAGTCTCTGGAATTCTTCGTTTCCAGCATCAGCCAGACAAAACCAAGGTTTGTGATTATTTTCAAGAACCTTAGAAAGCTGTTTTGTCCCATTGTTAATGTCACCAGGGAGCCTCTTTGTAGTAATTTCATACAAAGAAAAGCTCAGATGTTTTTGATGCTTGATACGACAACTACATTTTCTTGTTAAATGTTTTTATACAACAAAGTTCTTTTTGTATAACCTTGTGCTAATGTGGCAGTCACTGGAACATGTGAAGGAAGAAGAAATACCTGAAATGACAAATTAAAACATAACGCAATCCAAAGGAGAGGTTTAAATAGCAGTACTAGCTCACTTAAAATCTCAAATCACTCAGACTGGTTAAGCTACATAGAGTTTGACAAGTAGGAATTCTAATTTGAACAGAATCCTGCTCATATCTCAAGTATTATTTCAAGTTTTGCTACTTGAAACCCCTTGTATCATTGTGGGGGGAAGAAAAGACCGAAAGGAGAAAAGCTGAGTCTGGCAGACTGTTTCTGATGTATCTGAGTATGTCCTCTTGATAGGTACCAAAAAAAGCTTTTACTTTGCCATTTTTCATTTTTCTGAATTACAGCCCAATTAGGAATAAAAAGGTTTTGCTATAGCTGTTAGCACCCATTGTTATTGTGGGGAATATCAGTACAGGAGTGCCCTTGGCACTAGCTGGAAGACAGGATTTTGGAAGACAGGATAACAAGTACGTGAATCTTGGGCTCCTAACATGTCTGTTGTTATGTAAATAAAGGAACAAGCAAAGATACCATAAAGAAAGATTTATTACCACTGATCTTCATCATATCCAGGTCTGTTCTCTTCAAGTACAGTTACAGAGTGAGCTGAAAACGGGGGACTGGAACGCAAAGATAGAGATGGACAAAGATAGAGGTGGATGAAGCAGCAGGGAGTAGCAGTTTGGAAAAGCTCAAGAATGAACACACTTCACTGCTCATAAAAGCATGAGCACAGATGTTTGCAATTAGTATTTTATACCCACCTTAAAAGAAATGTGCCTGTGGGCAATTGTAGACCAATAAACTTTCATAATAGCTAAACTACTTAAAATACTACATAGAAAAGCATCAAATATTTTATTAAAGTAATAAAATAGCACATCTGTGAAAGAAAACCAGGTCTGTGACACCTAGTCAATATCTGAATTGTCAAAAGTACACTGACAAAGCTCTTCTCAAGATCTAGTCAAATAAATTAATTAGTGAGAAATCCAGCAGCCACAAAATTGAAATGGGCTTAAAAACATTAGGTGGCTATTTTTCACTGTTACTTAAATTCATAGTGAATGTTTACATCACCCTTAGATTTAAGATGTTTTTAATGATTTGAAAAAAGTCAATGGCAGAAGAAAATGAAACCTTTCATTAGCTGAAACTAAAAGGAGCACCTTTTTAGCCTTCAGGGCTATAATTTTTTAAATAGAATATGGCACTTGAACTGAATTTTCAGGATGTGGCTATACAGCTTGTAGGCCAAACTGAGAATTCAGTATCTAAATTCTGGTCTGCAATATGTAATGACAGCAATCACAGCTTTTTAGTATGTGTTATCTAGAGTAAGTACAGCTCTGTATTTATAAAGGCATATATGAAAATAGACATAAAGTTCCAATAAAAGCTAAAATAACCTTCAAATCCTTCCCAAACATGAAAAATATCTCCAGTTTAGTTATTGAACCACTGCATGGAAAATTATTGCAAACTTACTCATCAGAGGGGGTTTTGATTGGGTGGAGTTTTACCCAGTTAGTCTTTCAAAAACTAACTTTTAACATATCCAGGGATGGGGCATCCACAACTTCTCTGGGCAATCTCTTCCAGTGCCTCACCACCTTCACAGTTAAGAATTTCTTCCTTACATCTAATCTAAATCTCTTTCAGTTTAAAGCCATTCCCTCTAGTCCTATCACTCCCTTTCCTTGCAAAAAGTCTCTCTCCCTCCTTCTTGGGCCCCCCGTTGATATTGAAAGGCCATTAGAATGGCTCCCTGAAGCCTTCAAAGCTCAATTCTTATAATGAACTACCTATTTTGATGACCTTGCCTATTAGATATTAGATAAATAGTACACTTTCAAATTCAACAATATTTTTCAAATCTCTTAATAAGAGACTTTCTCTTATAGGTATTCAAGAAAGAAGGTCTGCATTATTCAAGATTGGACTTCAGGATGAGTATAAAAAATGAAATAAAGGATTCCTAAAGATACAGTATTTTGGCTCTAAAATCAGTGCACATATAAAAAAATAGTTTTACTGGAGGAAAGAAACCAAGTTGAGCACCTTTTGAGCATGTCTAAAATGCCTGGTAGGAAGTTCCCCACTATTGAGATGTATGCATTAAGCTTCTGGTGCTTACACATCTTAACTGTTTTATTTAAGAGCTGAGTGCTAGAAACAGATTTTGCTGAGAAGTGACATTTTTCAATATTGTATGTTACAGTCATTCTGGTAAAAATGTCAGTGGAGTTTCAATGCATTTCTATACCCCTTTATTAATCTTCCTTACACACACAGATGCAAATGGTGAATGGAAATTAGAGCTGTCGTCGACCAAAGGCCACATTAAAAGCATCTGGGAACTTCTTCATTCCCTCCCTGAATGCTCACATGGCAAATCACACGGAATTTGGATTTAATTTTTCAAGGGTTTTTATGAACATCAGATTCCTATTTTTCTGTTAATAAACACATCATTTTTACTAAGTACATATTCACTTAACTGTTTAATTCTGGTGACAGGAAAACTATCAGGTTATCCTAAGACTTCAGACTTTTTGCTGAGGTCCAATATATGGAGTTTCATCTTTCCAGAACATGAGATTTATATTCACAACCATCCTCCTGGTAGTGAGTAAATTAGAATTGCACATGAGAACCTACACTTTAGAATCAGTATCCACACAAATAATTTTGAGAAGCTACTGCTAGTTTTTGTAGGAGAAATTAAAGCAGACAATGGGTAGCCATTAAGTATTCTGTAGGCTTATTAATTTATGCACTATGAATCCACAATCCTGATTCAAGTAGGAGCATTATTTTACCTTGAGTATCTTTTTCTTGAGTAAATATCTCCATTTATATTCTGTACCAGTGCTGTATTCAGGCACTGGTTTGCTGCTTGGTGCACACCAGAAGTCGTACTTACAGCTCAAACTGAGCTTCTACAAAGTTCATGACTATCCTGGATGACAACCCCTCATTCAGATGTGAAACTTCTGTGTATTCAGGACAGCAGCTGACTTTGGTGACAATTCTTACTTCGTGCCGTGCAGTTACCACAGCAAAGACTGAACTTTAGTTTTCCTTCTCAAGTCTGCTCAGAACTGTTTACAAATTCCAAACAACTGCACGGGTTTGCCTGCAAAAAAACCACCGGAACTGGTGACTGTGTACAAATGAAGGCAGTGCATCAAGAACACAAGGTTGAGTTTCTAAGCTGAAATAGTAGTTTTACTTACTTTATATAAGTAGGAAAGAAAAATAAAGAAGAAACCTAAGATGTGTTTTTACACAGTTACACTTCAGAATAAAATTACTTTAAAAGTACTTTTTGCAGGGCACTGGAAGTCATCCTTGCCTACAAATGCTAGCTTTTCACTATTGCTCATGTAAGCTAAGAATGCATTAAGAATGCTGATAGCATTCTATTTTTTTCCATTACAAATGTATTTTTGTATGTGTTTAGTGTATTTCAACTTATACTAGTTATCATTAGCCAGATTAAAAACTAAGTAATTTTAAAATGTGCATTTTAATAATGATTATTCATGATTGTATTTATCACTCTTAACTATTAATTACCAAATATATTTGCTGGACGTAAACCTTTTGTATTTCAATAAAACATAATAAAATTATTTCCTTGAAAATTTCACAGGGAATTGAAGTGGTACCTAATATGACACTAAAGCTCATCATGTTACTTTAAAACTGGATGGAAAGTTACAGTTGGAGATAAAAGCCATAAGGAAACTGAAAAAAAATTACATTTCCTAGATAAAGTATGACTTACTTAAATCTTTTTAAATTAAAGAACTACTACTGTGAGTTGGCCCTTAAGATGAAAAAGTTCCCTAAGACTCCAAGGGGAATACAAACAAACAAAGCCCCGCAAAAGCAATACCACATCTCTGTCCCAAACATAAAGCTTCCACCACAGCACACACACTCAAAGCAGCAGAGCTGGTGTCACCAGTCACTGACGGACACAATCTAAAATTAAAAAGATACAGAGTACATAGCATAGCAAATGACAGACATATTGGAAGTGATAGCAATAAATGTTAAAAAAGCATTGAAAGTAAAAAGATACTTGTTTCAATAAATACTGAGAAATGAAGTATGAGGTTTAAGATAACAAAATCAGAATTTTCTAATATCAGAATGTCATTCTGGAGGAACACTTACCTTAGAAAGTAAAGACAAAATCTTTATTAGAATAAAGTTTTAAAAAGTAGATTTAAGTACCAAAAATATCTAATGGAAAAAACAGCAGACAGAACCAACAAAGGAATATTTTTATCTTTCTCATAACTTAATTAACCCTTATGCTTCAACTCTTCAAAGACAAAAACAGTAAGAAGATACAAGTAAGATTTCAACATGGAATGTGTTTATTTTTTATTTTTAAATTTCAGTACAGTATTAAGAGGTCATTTAAATACTTAAAATAAAGATATTTGAAGAAAAACCCAGAGGATTCAACTAGGTAAAGAAAAACACAATCTTATCAGTGGATAAAAGACAAGTATTGAATGATCTTAGGACCTTCAGAGTAGCATTCTCAAGAAAATGCATATTCCTGGGTCACCTAGTCAGGAATTTAGCTAAGTGTGGTGATTCTCTTCCTATCCTTTGTTTTGTGGAGCATTTTAGGTTGATCTCACCTATAATGGACAGCTTCAGTGACAGGCAGGAAGATTTTTTTTTTTTAATGAAACACACAGAGAACCAAGCCAACGTGCTTTAAAAACCTCTATAATTTTCTCTATAACTATAGATCAGATAGGCATCAGGTCATCCTACAGTCCTAAAGATAAACCCTCTCCCCTCATTTTATATTTCCTCTCCAAATCAACCAGCTATAATTACCTGACAGAGTACAAGGGACCATGGAAACAACTGGTAGCCAATTAAATATTGCCAGACAGGTAAAAAATAATAATCTGAAACTAGCTGAAAATTAATTTTGTTTCACAAAAAGATAAGTGAAACTAAAAGCAGAAGCTGCTTTTGGTGTAGAGTGAACAAAAAGGGGGAGAAAAATCAGCCTGCTACTGTGCGAACTAGAATACCCTGATTTCTGGAATGCATCTTCTGCTTCCCTCAGGCATACTTCCGGAGCAATGCTGGGAGGTGGGAACATCTCATTTGAGATGTCCAGCCACCAGAGGCTCTTCCACTATTTCAAAGTCCATTTTATTTTCATGATAGCTCATATTTGTTAGTCACTTAGTAAAGAAAAATTTCCATACATCCCATTCTGACAAATAAATTTTCTTTTCAATGCCAGTCAAGGAAATCCTGACATAACTAAAGTAACAGAGTGGAAAAATTAAGTTAATTTTATTTAAAGTTCCCTGCAGGTATGTTTACACGCATACATACTAAAATATTTAAGCACATATATGTGTATATACCTCCACACATGTAAGCATTTGAGGTTCTTTGCTTACAATATTCAGTCTCATAAGATCCATGGATTTTAAAGATATTTACACTGAGATGGAATGTGCTAAGTCAAGCAGATAAACACAAGACAGAAACAAACACAGGTCAAGTCAGTGATTTTTCTTTCTTGGATCGCATGAGTGAGCACAGCTTCTTGCAGTGCTAAGTGTTTGGGGACTGGAAGTTGTCATATTTTGGTTCCAATGCATTAACACATTAAACCAGTAATCTAAATTTCATAAGCTGCACCTTTAAACTCACGCAACACTGTACAGGTTTGCACACAACTTTCCAGCCAGCAGTCTGATGCACTTCTCCTTTCATCTTCCAGCCCAAAATGACTGTTTCTGTGAAGAATTAGGGTAAAATGAAAACAATTTGCTCATTTGCAACCACATGATCAGGAAGTAGAGTGGCTCTGCAGCAGAAGTTGAGATTCCCTGATGCAGTGGATGTGTAGAGAGTTAAATATCACTTGAGTATCTCCACATTATTCCCATAAGGAGTGTATGTATAACAACAAGCAGACCGTGGCACGCAACCATGGTCTAAGGTCAGCAAGGAGCTTTCACTGTGCTACAGAACCACCCCTCTTGAAAATAAAGTATATTTATGCATTTAAAAATTAAAGTTTCCAAGAGGTTTCATGCTCAGTAAGGACAGTGGAAATTATTTTATACTGTAAGCAAACTGTCAATTAAAAAGGGCAAAATTTATTTTTAAATCAGGCTACGTAATTGGACATCACGCTACTTATATTTTGGATTTTTATCAGAGAGATAACCAATGGTCATGTTTAATTTGTTGAAATAAAAGCCAGCACGGTAAAGCAATGTTTACATAAGTGAAAGAGATGCATCTTAAAAGTGTATGAAATTAATGATTCCCACTCACAAAAACTCCCCAAACAAACAGCTTAATAAAGGAACTGTTACAAGCTATGAAGCTTGATAGAGGAGATAAATATACAGCTCAGCATCCAAATCACTATGATATTCCAGTACACAAAAAATTGTAGCTATTTCATCAGCACATAGTATTAAGATGCACTCTGTTATTGGACCAATTTTTTACACAGTCTAACAAAAGTTACAGACCTTGTATAATCTCGTTACAGTTAAAATAAAGAGGATTTCTGAAGCTCAGGCTTCAATATTCAGTTAAGTTATACTGCCAGCAAAAAGCTGAACATATTTCCCTTAATGCTATCCTTAATCTTATATACCTTCAGATACAAAGCTTGAACAATTTTGTGTAATATGTTGAAATTACACTACCTGGCTGAACAAACTGTTCAAGAACTGCTAATAGAAATATGGTCAGAAAAATAAAGTCTAAAGCAGATTTGTACTAAAGAGGAAAAAAAAAAAATAAAAAGAATCTACAAGAGAAGTGGTATAAGCCCTAAAGAGCAGTACATTCTTTGAGGACCTCCAAAATTATACTATTTTGATGTAATATGAATGCTTTTCTTGGAATGTACAGAAAATCATTTCTCTTAAACCAAGACAGAGAATGCATTAAACAGGGTCTCAAGTTTAGGAGGATTTCCACCAGGTTCTGGAAAAACAAAAATCATTACAGACACTAACCAGTTTGCAAATCAGGACATAAAATGTCTCAGATTATATAAAAGTATACTCCAACTTCTCCGTAACAGAAGTCAAAGCTAAGGCCTCACAATTCCAGTTATTAGAAAGAGCATAGTCTCTCTTCTAGGCCACCACTTGAAGCCAACTACTCAGTGTTTTAAAGAAGGAATCTTACAAAAAAGTGGTTGCAGTGCAGTTCTTTGCAATATGTACCCAAGCACAGACAGATTGCTTAAAAGTGTTAAGAGTTATAACAGAAACTGTTAAAGAAAATGCAACATATAAACAAAATGCAGCAAACTATACTGACTGAAGTTTCTTCAGGGTCCTCATACCTAGTAAAGTTCACTACACAAATTAAACATCATGAAGTACAAATTAACAAACTACATGATTAATAAAATCTGTTCACTTTATATTAAACATCTCTACTCTGATTACAGAATGTTTAGGCCCCCTGTAGCACAGAGGAACTCTTCCCTTTGTATCGTGGGCACGGTTCTCATCTCAAAGGCTCCTGTGCTGACTGCTCAGTTATTTCAACAGGTTCTGCAGCATGGCCGTAGCATAGGTAGGGCGAGCTTGTCTGCTTGCAATTGCATTTTGGAGATACTGGATGCCTCCACAGCGTTCCCAAATTTCTTCAAACTGTCTCGGTAAAATTTCAGCACCTCGCTTTCGGGTCAAGCCAGTCTCTTCAAGATTAAGCTCACACATATCCATATCATCCTTACCTAAAATGGTAAAGGGAAAAAGAAAACATATTTTACATCATTCAAAGGTCCCATCAATAAAAATTAGATCCTAGTTAATTAGATTTCCCCTCTGTAGATCTGGTTTACTAGTAGACTTCAGAGCTTATGAGGATGTTCTCAGATACAGGCATTTTTCAGTTTACTGGCTTTTTGTTACACAGAGAACATACTAAAGAAGTATGAGTATAAAATAGTATCAGATGCTGCAATTGACAAAACTGTACTTAAACAGCAAGCAAAAAGGAATAAAGGGAAGAAGCTGAAAGAGCATCATCTCAATATAGTCTTCTGAAACCCATTACAGGATGACAACTACATTTAGATTACATATATTTTCAGTTTCAGGCCACTTCACAGTGAACTTCTTTACTTTTGGTTATATATATCAAAGCAACTAAGAATTCCAGAATTACTTTGGATCAAGTAGCTAATCTGTCAGGCTACCACCCAAAACCAAATGAGTGTTTACCAAATGAGACCAACATAGGCAATCCAATGAAATTATATGTGTAGCTCACAAACTAAATTGTAAACTTATTTTTAACAGACACGACAGCAGTGCTACTTTTAGCTATGGGCTTTGGCACTGAACAGCAACAGTTGGTATAAGGAATTCTACTTAGAATAATTTGCAGAAAACAAACTTTTCTTGCTAGTAAAGCATAATTCTGAAGTGAAACAAATTGGCTATGGCCTTTCCTCAGTCCCTAAGTTAAATACAAAGTCTCAAATCACAGAAGTGTAAGCAGCATTTCTCCAGTGTTTTCTCCCCTGCTCCTCGTCTTCTAGAAAAGAAGGATACATTTCACTACCAGATAAATCTCTACCTATCCATTGCAA